GCTCATCTAACATTCAAAGACTTTGTGGGTCTCCCGTGTTTGTCACAAGAATCCACAATTAGACAAGAGGGCCCTTTAGAAATCATTCTTGGATAAGCCCATCTCTAGTGTTTCTCCTGAAATGGTTACACACCTAATGCTTCAGAAAAAGGTTGTAGCCACACCCTCTGACTAGAACAGGCTATCCCCACAGTGAATCTCCTAATTTTAGCATTCTCTACAGTTGGATAGTCTGAGAATATCCCAAATGATCAAGTTTTGGTTCCTTTTTAAGTTTCTTCCTCAATATTTCTCGTTTCTCTCATATTTTACTATAAGCAGCAAGAAGATACCAGGCCCCACCTTCAACATTTTCTTTGGAGACTCCTCAGTCAACTATCCAAGTTCCTCACTTACAAGTTTGCTTTTCTGTATAGATGTGGCTGTGAACAAAAATCAACTCCATTTTTGTGTCTGGATTTCATGCTGTGACCGTTAATCAATCTTACTGTCCTTAGTGAGCATACCAAAGCCTTCTAATTGGTGACTGTGTTCTCTAAATGTACACAATGTAGCCATAAATATTTTTGTTAGTAACAGCTGGACTAGCATGGCAACCAAGGTAAATATCAAATTGGTGATAGTATCAATTATAAACAATTATCTATCACAAGACCACCAGGAGGTATGGCCTCTGGAACGTACTGCATTCTTTCCCCTTCTTTTGTCAATTACTTGTACCTGATTTATACTATTAAAAAAATATAACAGGAGTCTGTTAGCAGAGAGTGCTGGGTTGTCTGTCTGCTTTAACCCTACCTCCCTGTAATTATTTACCATATAATAAATTCCGTTGTATTCTATAGAGTTGCTTGCATTGTCCTTTGATCTTACCTTCTCGTTATGGTGGCTATTACACCTTTGCCCCCCATCAGACAATTTTCACATAATTGTAGGACCAGATTCAGCCAAATTTTCTGCCACTGTGTAACAAGCATCGTCCTTCTTCCAGTTTCCGATCAGTTTCCTAATTTCCTTCTGAGTTCTCACCAGAAGTGCCCTTAATTAATATTTCTACCAACATTCTGCTTATGATGATATATATGTTCTTTAAGAAAATAGAAGCTTTCTTTATCTTACTTCTCTCATCTTGAGACTGCATCAAAGGCACCTTTACCATTTATAAATCTAACAGTCTGTTTAAGGCAATCTAGGCAATTACTATTATGTGGGTTAAACTCCAGACTCTACCCATTATTCAAAACCAAAGGCACTTCTACATCTATAGGTATTTGTTTCAGCAAACCCCATTACCTGGTATCAAAATATGAACTAACTTTCTGTGGCTGTCATAATAGATAACTACAAATTTAGTGGTTAAATCGATAAACTATGGTATATTTATATTAAAAACCAGCGGTATATATTTTAAAAAGTTGTATATATTTATAAAATTAATTTTGATATACTCAATTTTAAATGAAATGTTAAAAATTAAAAAACAAAAATCAAAGAAAACTTCATATCTGCCACTTTGAATTTTTACAGGAACACTTCAAGTAGGTACCTTTTTATGGCCAAACTTTTGCAGAATGTCTTTTCATTAGCTCCTTTCCTCCTCAGCCA